CTGAAAGGCCTATGAAGCGGTATATAAGTCTACTGCTATTGCTATTGCTATACATATAAAAACACACACACACACACACACACACACACACACACACACATATATATATATATATATAGAGAGAGAGAGAGTCCTTAGATACCACCACACGAGGGCAGCACATGTTAAACATGATTGAGCAAAGTCTTGTACTTCTTCTGTTGCTGTTGTTATAAGTGTTGGGGTTGTGTTGTTTTTTAAAGAAAATTCAGAACGAAGCTTAAATAGTAGCCATCTTCTGAAGGTCTTTCAAAATAATGATGTCCTGGATTTAAAACTCTCTTTAGAAGGGTAGAATTAACATGGTCTGGGAAGAAACAGAGACAATTTGGAAGGTTTTAACTTCCATCGGTGTTTTTTTTTTTTAAATGATAAATATTTTGTATATATTCTAAAAGTATTTTCACAAAAAAACTTACAGTTTGATCTTTTCCTCTTTCTTCCAGGTTCTCGGGGTATCAATGTTTTAATACTAGTTCAGCCAATAACTCCGTGGTAAAGTCATTTTCTACTGTGGAAGAGGAGATTTTTAAATTTAAAAAGTGTAGATAACAGGGATATTCTGAGCAAGATATTTTTTTTCTCTAAGGAGAATTGATGTACTTACAAAATCCAGTACATTGAAGGGGCAATTTTCTTTGCCTGAAACAATAAAGGACAAGTAAACGACTTGAGGATAAGCTATTGTTTCTGTTGGGAAACCAGTATTTTATTTATACAATGTTTAGTTTATTTCCAACTCATAATATAAATATCACTTTAAAAATAATAATAATCCTAGCATCAAAGAGGTGCTTAGTGTACGCACTTCTGTCATCTGTTGAACATACTCAAGCAATTATATATATTTTTTTCTAGATTATCATTCAAAGCATCAGGTGAAAATTAAATGGGATGTTTTGATTTTGAAGTTTGGAAATCTGTGTAATTAGATGAAAGAAAAGCATTTTTGATGTGATGTTTAAATTCTGGTCAACAGAAACTTTGGTTGTGATAATCATGGAAATAAATTACGAGTGATTTTTTTTTTAATTCAGAAATTATTATAGAATATTAAAAAAACACGCCAAGGCTTCCTTGTTACATATTCATGAAATATCCAAGAATCATAAACTGCCAGAAAGCACTGATACCATTTCAGCTTACCCATCTTTAACCCTAAGAGTTTGCTTGTCCTTTAAGAAAAGCAAATGTAATATTGTGAGATTCCTTCCAGTAGTGCCACTGTATTTTGTCTCCAAATAAAGAAGCTTATTGTAGTATGTTTGCAGAAAAAAAAATTCTAAACAAAAATATACAGCTTATTAGAGTGTGGGAATAGGGGTCTAAATTTTAAATAAAAAAGTATAAATATATATATATATATATAAAAAATGGTGCTGATTTTATAATTGCGCAGTTTTAGTTTTTTCTTACTTTTAAATTCCAACTT